TCTCATTTATGGGTCCATACATATGCCTTTCTATCTTCTGAACATGAAACAATTCTATTTGATTGTGCAGCCCAATCAATTCCAGTAACACGTGCATCATGTTCATTTAATTTTGCTTCAGTTGTAAATTTATTACCATCAAAACTAGCAACAATAATTTCTTTGGAACATGGAGAATAAGCAATTTTAGTAGCATCACCATTCCAACAATGACATCCAATATTATCACAAAGATGGAAACTCTTTGGAGCTGACATTTCTTTAATTTAATTTTAAGTTCATTTTTAGATAAAGTTCCTTCTTCACCTTTACTTTTATTTTTTAGATTTTTTATTGGTATCCCTGAACTTTAAAATTGATATTTAATAATTTGTTTTTCAATTATTTTTTATTCAATCTTAAAATTAAAAATTTAAGATTTATTCGCCATTTAGATGAAACAATGAATATCATAAAAATTGATATATAAAATAATTTAATGAAAATGAAGGTAATGAAAAAATTTTACAAGCCAATAAATAATAATTCAAGTATAAAATAAAGAAGAATAAATAATATAATATAAACACAAAATAAAAATTCAAGTATTTGAATAGAATAAACAAGACATATGTTTCATTTACTTATTTTATTAATCGTTTCATTAATCTCTAAATCTACAATACCAATAAACAATATATATTATTACTTATTTATTTTATTATTTATATCTGCATTTAATTCTTTTTAACTGACATCTAATGAAGATTTTTTTGTGAATAATATAATTGATTAATGCTTTGAAGAAAAGAAAGGAAACATTCCAATAGAAAGGAAAAAGAATCTCATCTTGAAAATTTTCATGAGAACTAAATAATTTGATTAATGGAAACTGGTCTTCTTGGACATGCTGAACAAAAAGCACCAACCTCATTACAAAAATGTATATTGGGGTTAGTTGCATTGTTAATTATTTTCCAAGCATTTGTACTTATTTTTATATTTACTTCAGGATATGTTACACTTGATAATTATCAACTATCTGCACAAAACATAATGGATAAAGCCGTTCAAGATGTCGATGAGGGATTAACACAACCTACATTACCAAAATCATTTGTTACACCTTATCAACTCCCACGATATTGTCAATATAATAGAGGAACATGTTGGGCATTAGCTACTATTGGTCTTTTGGAACAATCATATAGAGATAATGGTATTAGAAAAGGATTCCTTAAAGATAACGAATATCTTAGATTATCACCTCAAGCATATGCTATTGATGTCTTAAATCAATGTGCCCTTCATCCAGAAGCTTGTCCAGGTAAAGAAGGAATTAATAATTCTACAGAAGGAGGATATGTAGAATGGTTATATGCATTCACTGATTTATATGATAAAGTTCTTCCAGAAAGTGCTTGTCCATATGCAGAAGAAAATGAAGGACAATGGGAATGTGCTGACAAAGAAAAGAAACAAGCAAGCAATCCAATAAAATTCAATGTTACTAGTATAACTACTAAGAGAAATATTTAT